GAGCTACGGCGGGATGCGCTGGCGGGCTCAGGGGGTGCTCAGCAGGATGCTCGGCGGGATCCGCTGCCAGGCTGCTCTGGTGGGATACTTGGCGGGATCCACTGCCATGGCGTGCTACTCTGGGATAACTCAGCGGGATACTTGGCGCGTACTCGGCGGGATCCACTGGCGAGCTACTCTGGACACTGAGCGGGATCAGTGGGCTGCTCTGTGGCACTGGCGCTCTGGCGGCAGCTCTGGCGGGACACTGGGCGGGCTACTCTGGCGAGATACTTGGGGGTTGGGGGGATCCACTGGCGAGCTACTCTGCCATACTCAGCATGATGCTTGGCGGGATGCGCTGCCAGGCTGCTCTGGTGGGGTACTTGGCGGGATCCACTGACGAGCTGCTGCCCGGCTACTCGGCGGGATCCACTGACGAGCTACTCTGGGATATTCAGCGGGATACTCGGCGGGATGTGCTGGCAGCCTGCTCTGGTGGGATACTCGGCGGATCCACTGGCGAGCTACTCTGGGATACTCAGCGGGATACTCGGCGGGATCTACTGGCAGGCTGCTCTGGGGGATCACTGGCGGAATACTCGGCGGAATCCACTGGCGAGCTACTCTAGGATACTCAGCAGGATACTTGGCGGCATCCGCTGCCAGGCTGCTCTGGTGGGATACTTGGCGGGATCCACTAACGAGCTACGGTGGGATGCGCTGGTGGGGGTCTTTGGCGGGATATTTTCGGCGGGATTCACTGGCGAGCTACTCTGGGATACTCAGCGGGATACTCGGCGGGATCCACTGACGGACTGCTCTGGTGCGAGACTCGGCGGGATCCACTGGCAAGCCGCTCTGGCGGGATACTCGGCGGGATCCACTGGCGAGCCGCTCTGGCGGGATACTCGGCGGGATCCACTGTCCAGCTGCTCTGGCGGGATACTGGGCGGGGGCGTGGTGTAGAAGCATCCCAAACGCGGATTCCAACATAAAATCTAACAACCTCTTCCAGTCGGGTGGGGAACAAAAAGCGCCACTGAGCAGACCTATGGTCTAAAGGTCGCCCTCAAATACGTCAATGTGATGTATTATGTTATTGCTTTTGTTGTCGCTTGCTTGTCATTAGTCTTATCATTATTACATGTTTTGTTGTTATTTATTAGTGTTGTTATTATGTATTATGTGCATATATGATATATCCATACAGTACACATACATGTTCATCGATTTGGCTATTTGTGTTTGTCCAGGGATCCTTCTGCCCGCCCAGGTAAACACAAACCGCGGAGCTTTCGAAAGCTCGTTTCCTGGGGTGCTCCTGGGCGTCTCCCATGTGAGCAACCTAGGGCCGCTAGGCTTCCTCCTCCTTTGCGATCATAGAAGTTCACTCCGGAGTCAGGCAACAAATCATAAGCTTCCAAGCAAACGCAAGCCTCCGTGATTCCGAGCGTGAACGCGACCAACTTGGCTCTATCTGTCTCTTGGGGATCATGATCCCATGCTTAGATGGTCAAAGGGACAAAACCCTATGTGGGTCATGCTCATGGTGTCCTTTTGCCTGACAAGCCCAGGGCTGCTGCCCTCTATTCACTCAGCGAAGCTTTTGACCTGGACAGAAACACATGGCTTATGGCTTGGGTGTGTGTCAGCATTGCGGACCTCGGCTCTCGCTTGTTTTCTCTTGGCGTCCCTGTTAGCAACATCCAAAAAGAGAGCCCTATTTGGAGAAACTCCAATTCATGTCCTCAGCGCAAACCATATTTGAAGGTATCCCCTATGGAACGTCATAGCTGCGCGTAGTTTGATCCCCCAACCCTCCAACGGCGTTCTGAAGGATGGTTCCCTTTGCATCCCACAAACCAAATGAGGATCAGCCCACTTGTTCGCTGCGTAAAGCCCTATGAACATCAGGAACTCCAGCCCCCCCAAAGACGCTCCAACCCAAATTGGTTTGGTGCCCATTCCAAAGAATTTTCAGCCCCTTCGGGTCCCGCGACTCTTTGGGGTTCCGTGCAGTCGAACGACTTGCCATCGGCGAACTGTGATCTCCGGAGCCTGGGGCTCAGGCTCCCCCATGTGGGCGACCACATCGCTAGCAATGTAGAGCGCCAAACCTCGGTTGGGGGTCACTTGATGAAGATACAGTATGATGGACTTAGAAATGAAGCTGATAACCGTATTATAGTATTTGGAATCTTCATTCACAAGCTTACCTTCCTGTCTGGATCTGATTGCATGTTTTGATTCTTTTTGTGTTTTTTGTTTGACTTTTTACAAAAACAATCTAATACACGTTCATCTTCTAAACATCACGTCATATCTGTATTATAATTCTATATCATGATCTTAATGCAAATTATTTCCTACTTATGATCTTGGTGTTCTAGACTGAGATTATAATGAAGAAAGAAACCAACGGCCGCCCCCAAGCCAGGAAAGACCTTAAGAACTGTCCTTGAGGAGGGGTTCGGTTCGGGTTTCTGATCCAAAGTTTTGATCAAACCTATCTGAAGGGGTCAGGCACGGCCCGAGTATGTTTCTCCTTATTGGTGGTAAACCGAAATCGACGGCTCCGGCCATCAAAGTGAACGTTTCCTGAAACCAAACCTTAGATTGAAGTCAGGCTTGGCGAAAGTTGCTTCGCCGTCATCTTCGTTCCTCCTGCAAGGAATCCTGTACCTCAGGTTTAAAGGTCCGCGAGGTCGTCGTGGCTGGCACTTGACAACCAAGATTCTTGACCTCCTGCAAGCTGTCGGTGATCTCTGTGCGCAGCTTTGTGCGAGAGACGCTTCTTTGCCATTCTGCCGATGCATGCTTCACAGCAGCGCTGGCTTCTCAACCGGTGCGTGCCAATCCTGGCAGGCCTTACTCTGTCATTTCAACAAAACAAGAAAAAAGAGGAAAGACTGAAAGAGAAACGGCAAAAACAGCTGACACGCAAGCCCGGAGGTTTTCTCCCTCCAAAAAAGACGCCCTTGAGGCGTGCGGGGTCTTTTCCACTGCGAGCTCTTGGGCCCAGACTCCGGTCGCACTCCGATCTCTGGAGCAGGCCTTTGACCAGCCTCGGGGCTTCGCGGGAGACATGGGGCTGGGGTCCCGTGCCTAAGCCTAGACTAAGGATTTCTACAGATCTCACTATGTCTCTTTCAGCCCAGTAAAATAGCCCAAAGAAAAGCACATTGCCCGGTGGACCCAAATGTTCTTCCCAGCAAAGCACCAGCGACATGGGACCCATAGAAAACCTCACCGCTCTACACGTGACGTCACTTCTGATTCCGATGGCCGTGTCTTGGAAGTGGGGTTGATTTCACGGGCCCCCTGTGGACATTTGGTGGGGACTGCGTGTCCACCTACTTTCGTTGTCGTGGTTGCCGATGAATGATTTATAGGTACGTAATTCAAGAGGGGGCTGCTATGAAACCGAGCAAGTGTTGGGACCTGGTTAGTAATCCCCCCAAATCATCCTAATCTGCTCCCACCTGAGTCCCGTCACCAAGACTGATTTCCATTTCAATCAAGGTTGGACACTTCAGTCACCTGTTTGACTACTTCAGCACCTATGATTTGCTAGCCTTCCCCACCCGCCAGAATCTCAGAAAATCCAAACTGATCAGTACCAACGTAAATTTTACAGTACCTTTTTTCAGAGGTTCCACGGACAACACATCTCCACAAAAACAGCCACCCAGAAAGCAAACATTTATTGCATGTTGAGTGAAACAAAACTCAAGGTTTCACAAGCTCACAAAGGGTACCCCCCCCCCTTCAAGACCAGTTGTGTTTTAGGAACACACACAGACACACACATGCACAGACACACCCTGAATCATGGCCCTCTCCAACACAGGGAAACAAAAACACCATGTCTTGTTGCTATCCTATTGGCCAAGACAGGGACAGGACCAGAGCGGAGGATATGAGGCAGGGACAGGCCAAGAGGAAGAGGAGGGCGCGGGGACCGTACAAAGACGGTTTTCTTCTGAACCTTGACAACCTTAGGGGGGGGACTAATCAGCTGCAAACGAAAACCGCGAAAACGCGAGAAGCGAGGCTCAGCGCAAGGCTCCATGAAGATGGGCAGGCTCCCCTGGCCACGGCTGGACCGTATGGTAAGGGGGAAAAGTTACAGGGGTCACTGGATTTCCCCAATTTCCCCAAGTCGATCAAATCGTTGGTGGGCGAAAAACTGGAACTGCCACTTAGGGAGCTCCAAAAAAGGGACATTGAAGGACTCCTGCTACAATGGTTCTCTAAGTTCCAAATCGCTTTTTGCCAGTCACATGTTGTTGGATCATACCAGGTCTCAGTCCTCCCGGATGGTAGGGCACCATCTAAACCTCGGCCCTCCGCCCTCGTTCCAGCCAGGAAAGGAAGATACGCAACAGAAAAACAGTCGGATGCTTTAGTTGCTGAGGTGCCCGCAAAAGGTTTGGGTGGGGTTGCGGATGGGCGCCACTTTTCGAACAAGCTTGGGCGTTTCATCCAGTTTGGGCTCCATGCCAGGAGCAAACTAGATCCCCTTTGAGGTAGACCGTGGTTGATGTTCTCAATGGAACCCTTGCTGGGTCTCAATCAGCCTTGGAATGGAAGTTTGGGCACACCTTGGACAGCGATCCAGTCAAGCGCTAAAAGCAAGGCTACAGCAGGCTCGCTACACTGCATTAGCTTGCAGCCAAAAGTGCTTTCAACTAACTCTGCATTCGTGCAGAAGATTCAGAGCTCACAGCAACTTGCATGAAAAGCAAGTGGTTGCTTCCCTTGCTTTTTTGCTTGCTGATTGGCTGTTGAGTTCTGAATTTCCTGCTGGCCTGCATGCCAGCTGGCTCGCTACGCTACTGGGCTGTGGCTAGCCAACTAGCTCGCTTGGCTGGCTGCTGATTAGTTGGCTGCGTTGGTTGCTTGGTCGCTGTCGGCTCGTGGTTTCAGCTGGTTGGCAGGCTGGTTGGCTGCTTGACTTTCATTGGTTGAGTGCAGTTGGTTGGCCTGTTGGCCAAATAGTCAGCCGTTTAGGCATGTTATGTAACCTGCAGGAATCTTCAGCCCAATTACTCACACATTCGCACCACGGCAAAGCTTTACAACACTCTCTTTTTGAGACCCCAAAACCGGGGGTGTCTTCCTCGTCTTACTTCACCACAAAAAAAAACGGGCGCCAACTCCAAAAAAGACGCGCCGCGCCGTTCTTCGGCGTTGCTTCGGCCTCAGCGAACTCCTCGCGGCTGACCTCGCCGTTGGGAGATGCTTCGAGCGCATGGAGGGGTGGGGGGGGGTGGGGGGTTTGGGGGGGGTGGGGGGGGGGAGGTGGGGGTGGGGCAAATGCCCCCCCCCTTTTGGGAGGTTCCCACTTTTTGTGTGTGGAATTGGAACGGTTTTGGGGTTCCATGTTGATCTGTCAAGAGGTAGCCCAAGAGAGTTGATGAGGAAGAACTCGTGGACAAGCAAGCCAAAACCTGGTACCAGGAAAACACATCGCGTGTTTAACCAAGAAAACTTTGGTTGCCATTGGCAAATCGAAGCGCTGTCCTTCAAAGAAATATACCCTATTTGCGCAAATGTCGAGTTCACGAAACAACTTCCAAAGAGAATGCCTTCAAACACACCGCCAAGAAACTTACACACAGGCAGCGGCAAGCACAGATCCCTACCCTGAGAAGGTATGTCCATTGTTTTTGGGGTATGTACTTTTGGAGTATGTAAGTTGGACCTTAGAACATACTGGAAAATGGAATCACTGATCAAAGGGAGAAACCCCAAATCAAAGCACAGACTCCTGCAAATTTACATGGACATCAGATTCTTTGAAACCAAGACTGGCATTGTGTTCCATGCTGATTTTATCATTGAATACAAGACAAACAGGAACCCTGAAAAGGAACGGAGTTCTCCAAACCAAGAGTTTCTCTCAAGATTAGGGGGTACATGGGCAACCCCAACAACTTGGTGTGTTCTGCGTCGTCATTTCGCTTTCAACCCAAAAGGGCACCCGTTAAAAAGCAAATGCCAGGACCCTCTTCGGCGACTCCAACCAATTCAGGCCGCATCCCCATTGGGGGTTCCCGCGACTAAAGACCCGAGAAACCCTCCCACCATGGAACCCAACGGAGAATCCACTTAGGAAGTTGGTCTGGTTGCCCTCCTGCAGCGTTGGCAACGTTGATGTGGAGGCTACCCATAATTAGAGCCGCGCCTTAAAAAAGAACCACCTTCCGTCCTTCCTTCCTTCCTTCCTTCCTTCCTCCCTCCCTCCCTCCATTCCTTCCTTCCTTCCTTCCTTCGCCTTCCTTCCAAGCGCTGCTTCCACTGCACCACCCCCTCCACCACCAGCTTTCGGCCTCCATAAGGGTGGCCGCCACCTCCATCAGCGCGAAGCGAGCGGTCTGCGGCGAGGCGCTGCCTGACGAGCTCGCGAGCGCGGCGGTCTGCGTCGCATCCTGGGCTTTTGGCCATTCAAACTGGTTGGGTCATACGTTAAGTCACGGATCACGCATAAAACACGTTCTGGGCTGATTTGTGGCTCCCATTTTGGGGGTTTGCGTTTGTAGGGCATTTGTAGGGCATGAAGGCCATGTCAACGGTGTACCCTTTTGGGGTTTGGTTGGTTTGAAACAACACGGTCAGTGATACAATATGTTTTTTACGGGTTGGTTTGGGGACGTCCTTAGTTTTAACGCACACACACACATCCATCTAATTGAAAGTAGCCTAAAATAAACAGGAAGTCACCCCTGGAGGAAAGGGAGCACAAAACGCAACGGTCCTTTTCTAGCAGGGTTTCTCCCAAGATCCGGGGTTGACCACTTTCGCTTGCGATTTCCTTTTCGTGTTCAAAAAAAAACAAAACAACACCAAATGACATGAAGCCAAAAACGGGTAGTGAAGTGTGGGAGGTCCTCTAACCCAGCCTTCACGGTCCCTCCGTTCCCCCAAAGCTTCCAAGCGAATCCGGTGCTCCAACAGGGCGAGAGTCGAAAACAAGCTCAGGAACTGGCTTCAAGCGGAAAAATGGGCCTTTTTTTCCAGTTAATACCATCCAAAAACGGCGGCTCGCTCAGACCCCACAGTGAACTGTCAGTCCACCCACCATTTGGGTGTGTGTGCTTTTTGAGGGATACCCCAAAAAGCAGTGCTCAAGATACACCAAGAAGACCATTTCGGAGTCCAGATCCCTAGTGGTGTCCATTCAAAACAACGGGTAGCCTCAAAAACAGAGACACCCATTTTGACTGCCCACTGAATCCCCTGAGATGGGTTCCAGAAACTTGGGTCCAGGCCATCATCCGACTCGCTGTCGTCGTCGTCGCTATCGCTGCCCTGACGGGTTGGCAACCCGTCGTGAACCCATGACCTCGCACGAGGATTCCCGCCTTAAGCATCCCCTCCCAAAGTTGGTGGCTGAACCCGCAACGGGGAAAATCTAGATTTGTTTGCTCTAACCTATAGTAGAAGGTTATCCCTTGGGCGTAAATTGATTCCCCTCTTTAGGCTTTGCAAATAGTTGGCTCTCCCTGGTAAAATCGATTTTCCCTGTGGGTGTGTTCGGTCTCCGTAAAAATGACTTTCCCTGCACCAGTTGTTTTCTCCCTTTTGTCTCGCGGTCTCCTCGGTTACCTATGGCTTGCAACTAGCCCTGGCTGAGCAAGCGCATTTCGGCGGGTTCGGATATTGGTGAGGAGCTTGCCTTGGAGAGGCAAGCAGATTCCCAAGGTTTGTGACCCGGTGTTCGTCTTGTGGTTCTATGGTTCGAGGGAATGTTGACGCAGCAAGGACCCTCCACTGGATTGTCTGAAGTGCAGTTTGCACCTTGCTGCAGAATGTTCTTGCAGAATTCTATGAAACATGGGACTCCCGTCATACCCCATATCAAGTAGTGGCTTCCCTCCATTTCTTCGGTAGTGGAAATCTGTGCTCGGGTGGGTTGCAAATAACAAGTGATCGCCCACAGTCGCCTTATTCTTGGTCTGGGTCTTCTTCTTGGGCGCCAGTTCAGGCTGGAGCTGAGCAGGCCGCCGAGCGCGGCAGCGAAAGCAGGCTGGAGACGGGGGGATGGGTATCTCGGTATCTCACTTCGGGACAGAATGATGGAAGTTGATCAAACAACAACAGATGGTTCCCCTGAGTTCGTGGCGGTTTTCCGGAATGAAGGATCCCGGCAAAGAGTGGGGAATGTGGCCTGATAACAACAAATACTGACTCCGTCATGCAGGAGCCATCGTCAACAAAAAGATACGCAGTTGCCACATGGACCATCGACACATCAGGATGTGTTGACCAAACCTCATCTAAGATCCGTTTCAAAACCACACCCAGGAACACAAGACACATGGGATGGCAAGGGCCAGTTTAACCAAACCTCACATTCACTATGGTTTCATTTCGAACTCCAGATTCAGTTGGCGGTGTTCCCCACTGCGAGACAGTGACCGACTCCTGGAGGCAGTTTGCCGGGTAGCAACAGCGAGGCCCCATGTTGGTTCCCGATCCCATAAGGGCGTTGGATGATAATGTTCTGTCCATTTGGAGGCCTAATCTTCTCGAGGCTGTCCAACGTCAATGCCTGCCCTCCCATGCTCAAGACAGCCCTTCTCCCCTTCTCCCCTTCTCAATTGTAAGCATTGATATGCACTCCACATCCATACTTTGATGTACAGAGCCTGAAATCAACCCTGGAAACACGATAGTGCTTGGAAACCAAACAAAAGCAACTCGTACAAGGCACTCTTCAACAATGCATCTTTTCCCCCTTCAATTTCGCAAACTTGCCGTGGAAGAGCTCACATTCATGGTAAACCCTGCTTGGCTGATTACGTGATCCTCTGTGCTCAAGACACAGCTTCTCTGTGGCAACTTAGTGTTTTGGAACTTCAAGCACTTGCCTCCTTCCAGACTAAACATGTCCTTACCTGCTTACTTAAAGCGATAGAGAAAACCCAACCAGCAGTTGCGAATGTGGACTACGTGGCCAATCATGACAAAAGCAAACCTAGCCTGATGCAAGCATGCAAAATTTGACGCTAGCCCCGCAGGCTTGTTTGTTGTTTGAAGACTTTCCGAAAGGACACTAAGCCAAAGCTGTGCTCCCCGAATTTCAACAAAGTTGTTCTACAAGTCTGTAACTCTAACGGAATCTCAACATCCATTCCCATTTCAGCAGAAAGCCCCTAAAATACTCAACAAGTTGGAGACTCAAAGCTGGTGTTAGCAGGAAGCTCCATCAAAACTAGCCAAATGGCGCCGTATTTCTGCCAGCTGCTCCGGGCGCCGGGCGCTTTCCTGGTCGACCTTCACCCGCATCAGCAGATCCACTAGCACCTGGCACCAAATCGGAATTCCATGGATTGCAACGTTGGCTGGTAAAGAGGGGTTTGGTCGGTCGGTCGGCTTGTTGGTCCTTCGAGAAAAAAACAGAAAAAAGAGAGAGCAAACCTTGGGCAATGGTCTACATTTTGGTCATGCGGCTAGCGGGCTAGCCAAACGCCCCTGAATTTGTCTGTCAATGGAACTTCGTTTGAGGGCGGCCGCCCTTGGTTTTCCCTTTTCACACACCCCAAAAGGTTGGCACGGAGCCGAACGCACAGACGCAAAGAAACATCTGTTCAGATTCTGGTCCTAGTCTACCCAAAAAGTATAGAGGGGAGAGTTTCAGAAAGAAGCACTAGCTGGGTCTTTCCAAGGACTGTTCGGTAAGGTCCCAAATCAACCCCTACCTTCTCTTCTGTTTGTTTACCCGCACGATTTGGTGGTCCATCCATCCATCCATCCATCCATCCATCCATCCATCCATCCATCCATCCATCCATCCATCCATCCATCCATCCATCCATCCATCCATCCATCCATCCATCCATCCATCCATCCATCCATCCATCCATCCATCCATCCATCCATCCATCCATCCATCCATCCATCCATCCATCCATCCATCCATCCATCCATCCATCCATCCATCCATCCATCCATCCTTGGCGCACGGAGTCCTTGTCGAAGGCAGCCTTGCTCGAATTGGGAGCCTCAGGCTCCGGCATAGTCTGGGCCCATTGTAGTGGCCAGCCCCATTCTCAAATGGCGCTGCAAAACGCTATCTTCACAGGCACTTGCCTGGAACGAACCCACCTCCACTCCTCCGTGGTCTTGGGTTGGGGAACACCGTTCCCAAGACTTAGGTTCCGGGCCTTTCAGGTCCGCTGTCCAGCCCTGAATGCTTGCGTGCTTGAGTGCCCGAGAACAAAGGCAGGTCACCCCTTGGAAGCCAGCTCTAAAACTGCTTGCTGATTGTGTTGCACGCTTTTGTGATGAGGGCTGCCATCCTTGAGCACCCGGCCTTGCCAGAGCCGCTGCAATTTCGTCAATCTGGAGACTCGCACAGCTCCGTTCGATAAGCATGCCTGGTTTTCAGCTAGCTACGCTTTGTCAGAGAGAATGGGGGCAGACAGCGCCTAAACCGACAAAAATTCTCTTTCGGAACATATCCGCTTGGCGTTAGCTCATGAATAGCACGAAGGCTCCTGTGCACGAGTTGCCCTTATGCAGCACCACGGGGAGGAATATCCCAGTGCCTTCAGCGTAGGGTTTGCCGAGTGTTTCGACCCAACACCAAAAATGGGATGGGTGCCCTCAAACAAACTGACAGACCCCTGGGTGTGAGTAGCTTCAAACAAACCAACCCCCACCCACCCACCCCCCACCGCCCCCGGGCTCGCTGTACGCAGACCTTCACGAGGTCCGCGACATCCTGCTTGGCCATCACCTTCGGCCCAGCCTGGCGGTTGGGTTTTCACTGACCCAAAACATGGCACCCACTTGGGTGTCCTAAGGCCGTTTTCTAAGACTTCTTTTTTTGAGGTTGCAGGAGTGCCTCAAAGAAGGGAGGGATCTCTCCGTTTTTGTTCAGGTCGCATTTTATGGGCTTCAGGTGATGTCTCAAGGACAAAGTGCTTATGGCATTGCGGGTGTGAATGTTAACTGGCTGGACCTTTTGGTGGGAATTGATTACACAACCAAAAGAGTGACCGTAGCACGTATGGGTGGGGACCTCCCGAAATGGTGGTTCCCTTTCTACCCTCGAAAAAGATAGACCCATACAGGCATGAATCTTAATTGGACATGGCTTGCCCTTGGTGGGAATCATTTGCGTGAGGGCTTGTTGAATCACTGGCCCACTTTGGACTCGAATCCCGGCAAACGTTCGAACTTTCGAGTCGAACTAGGTCCTCCAGTGGAGAGGTTAGAATGAGGGTACCCTTTTTTCTGTAGTCTATTTTAGTAGGGGAGCCCTCCCCCAAAAAAGGGTAAAAGGGCACTACTGGGGGACCTAGCGAACAAAATGAGAGGCTGATCGAACCGCTGTCCAGAGAGAGTGAGTACTTGGGCCTGGAGCCCTTTGGAGGGGCTGGGGGGCCCTATCTCAACACGTCGTACGGGTGTGTTTTCAGGAGAAAGCAAAGGGAATCCACCTCTAAATGCACCATGACTCACTTGCTTTACCAAGGACCTGAAATCGAATGAAGACCTTTGGACCCTGGACTAGAAGACAACTTCAGAGAGCTAGCCGTCTTCAGGTCAAGTCGTGTTGGACAAGTAAGATCTGTGTCCAAACACCAATCCCAATGGTGGCTTGCTCCTTAGTTGCTTCTCAAACTCATTCAACAAGCGCTGATCGTTTTGGCGCCTGCAACAAGCCCCAACCTCCACCATTGACGGCACTGGGGTTGTTTGGAAGGAAAGCGGGGAAAAAAAGAAGAAAAAAAAACGCCACCCAACATAGGCATATTAACCTAAACACGAATCATCTTGACCCCAAAGTGATTCGGATCCACTCTTAAATCGGACCATGAACATCAACCAGGGGTTGATCAGTTTGCACAATTCCATGAGCTTGTCTTTCTGTGAGGGTACCCTTTTGGTAAAGGGACACCAAAGGGAACACCGACACCCATCTTCTTCCATTTGGTTAAGACCCTGGACAAAAATGAAAATACTTCCAGTAGTGATAGATTCCCTTTGAAACCAACAGGGGATTCTTGTGTAGCATATTCTTAAGCAACTGGAAGTCTTGGGGGGCCTCTTGAGACTCCCAAAGCGCTCCAAGGGATCCCCCGCCTTGCGGATCACGGCCGAGGTGGCAGTGGCCTGCGCCTGCGCCAGGGGCGGGCTGTGGCTCTGCACACGTTGTTTTTGGTGGGGCCGCAAAGAAAAAGCAAAATATCCACAGAGTCCGAGGGTTGAACAGTCTCAGGGTGTCTTTTTTTCTAGGTTTCTCAGATGCCCAGTGGATTTCCATGGGGAAAACACAACAAGCGTCCTTCTTTGGTTGACTTTAAAGGGGAACCCTTCCCAAAAGAAAGTTCAACAAAGGAAGCAACCGACTGAGCACCTGGGCTTTGACCCCTCAAAAGTCGTCAAGTGCGAGCAAGCGGCCTGCAGCTGCTGAAGGGCTCCCGGGCTCTGATCCTCCGCGGGGAACTTGGTCATCATCGACACCTCAAAGCGAGTCGAATGGGTCAGCAAAGTGAGAAACCCCCGCACCAGGAAGTGTCTCTTAAGAAATGGACATTTCCTTGATGTGCTAGAAGGACCGCCGGGGGCCTTGGCGGCTGGTTGGTCCTTGACCCCGCCGTTTTCCATGGATTTCCACGGCTTCCCACATGTATCTCCAGGTTCTTCGGCTCATGGATTTGCAAGGTTGCCTTCCCAGGATGGAGAAAGTAACGCTGGTCCCTGGATGGGTTGAAAAATCCTCCCTTACCCAAAAGTGCGCTCGTTATGTATGCCCCATTTCCCTGATACCCCATGGTTGCTAGGCCACCCGGAACGCCAAGTGGGCAACTGGAGGTCTCATCGGATGCCCTTGAGAGCCCTTGAGAATCGATCCCGCCATTTTGGGCCCGTCATAGCCATTCGATGCTTCCCCCGCAACCTGGTTTGGGGTTTGCGGGTTTGCGGAGGCTACTTGGAGCCCTCATGACGTGCTGGCATTCGAGTCCGCCCGTCCAACCATTTGCCTTATCATCCCTGCTAAACAGTGGAGTGAAGTGCCCAAAAAGGGGGTTGGGCGCCGTAAAAGATCAAAGGGTGGCAAAACTGTCGCCACCCATGGTTTGGAGTGTCCCCTTTAATGCCGTCCTTAAACCCGCTCGCTGATCGGTTCGCTTGGCCGCTGGCCGTCTTCTTCAGCAACTCCCCGGTCACTCGGCCCACCTCCAATGAAGCTGACTCTAGGCTTCAAAGATGCTGAGGTTAGACCTGATTAGAGTTTGGCCCAACACCTTGGCACACGAAACAATTGGCCATGGGTCAAAATCCCAAATCCCCAGTAAAACAGACTAAAATGGGTGGTGCACCCACCCAAAAGTGGTACCATTTGGTTTTGACCCATGGCCGTATGACTTTCAGAGTCTATTTCACATTCGTTCAAATTAAATTATACATGTTTGAGGATGTAGGGTGGCTTTGAATAAAAACCACCCATTTTGTAGGCTCCCCCAGCTTGGGATATGTGGGCGTGACTTCTGATTGGAATTTGAGAGGTTTAGCATTCGTCGGTCGTCCCAAAGTCATTCCAAGTTCAATAGGCTATCTTACTAACCCACGCAGGGTTTCCTATGGACAACAACAAAAACAACATGTATCGTCAAAGGATTTGATAATTTTGGATGGTTCCGTGTCCAAACCTATAGACCACCAGTGATATTGTCAGTCGGCTGGATTTCTTGAAGAGATATTGCTGTGGGCGCTCCAGCTCACAGCCAACAACAACGAGATGAGAGATCGTTGCTTGAAGAACATGCCTGGTCTCAAGGATGGTGAGCAAACAAAATAAGAGCGTTGCTAGCTTGGCTTGGTCAACGTTCAACCCGAATGCTAGGATGGAGTAGGGTGTCTTGACAGCAGGGTGCCAACCTTTGATGTTATGCAAACACACATGGGGCAACGGAAAGCTGTTCGGATGTGTAGAGTCTTAGAGGGAAGGTGAAGGCGCGCGTTTCATCAGATTTAGGGTTCCTTGGACCCAACTTTGGACACCTCTCAACGACAGAACCGGTCTGGACTTCGACCCAGGAAGTTGCCCTGATGTCCTATACGTTTCAATTTGTTTCAGAGCCAAAGAGCAACCAGAATTTAAGACCTCAACATGGGCGTTGTCCGTTTGACTTTCCTAAACAACTCAAAAAGCTTTGGCTACTCAAAAGCAGACCCCCTTTTGGACGGCAGTGAAAGGGAAAGCAGAAGGAAACCAAACATTGGTCTCGAACCGCAGGACCGCCTTTTGGATAGTTTGAACAAGTAAATCAGACATATATTGCCCTGTGTAGAAATTAACTTCCAACATTGAAGCTCACCTAGTTCTGCGGCTAAGTTTCCAAATGGGTGGCTCGACTTTTTTTGGAGTTGGTACCATGTGTTGTTGCTTTAAAAGGGAAACCACCTGAGAAAAGCCACATTTTCGTTTAGGAGGTTTGAAAAAACAAGTCCTACATGGAGAACCCCGCTATTTCAGAGGTCCCCGAAAACAGCTATGGCCCCGGGCGAGCGCGGGCTCCACACGGCCCTTGTCCACGGCGGCGCGGGCACATTGCACAACCTAGCGCGAGAATCCGAATCTGAATCCACTGACCAAAACTGGTTTAGGGTTTAGGGTTCCAACACAAACCAAGCTCCAACCAAGCACCAACCAAACACAACCCTACCAACCTACAGCACTATCCGGCCCCATGAGTTTACCTTTGTCAAAGTCACCAAGTTGGGATGCAGCCAGAGTCACAAAGTTTACCTTTGATAGCCCAAACCAAAACATATCTTGCAAGGGTTCTGTTTGCCTGTTGGCTGCTTCCCTTGAGGAAATCGAGTTCGGCCCCGCTGCCTTCGATGATTCTACCTTTGTCAAAGAGTGGCCAATGCCCTGAGTGGGTGCAAATTACGCGTAAAACTAGCTTGTTCTTGATTGGACGCAAGCAAGCTTCAGGTCTGCTTGAAAGGAATTCCAGGACTGCATCTGCTTCTGTCAACGCATTGTCTCGGCGAAATGTGGCGTAGCCACACTGTTTTTGGTGTGCGAATATAAGGGACTGTAATCCCAGTGCTCTTTAGGAAAATGGCCTAATCTGAAAAAGCAAACACACTTCAACGAAAAACAATCCCGCAGACACAAGGTATTGGGCATGACCGACATATTTCCCTCAGGATTTGTTTTTGCTTGTTGGTGTTCTTCGAGCTTTGTTGGTTTTTGCAAATGGGAGGCCTTTGAGGCTTGCCGTTTTTAGCAATTTTCCTGGTTTGGGACATAGGGGGGGCTTACAGGGTTGCTCAAAAGCAGGCACACGAGGCAGTGTGTGTCTTCGGAATAGCTGTATCAAAATAAGTATCCCTTTGGGTTTCGTCCAGATCCCTGAAAATACAAGATCAATTTCCTCTTGAAGGACTCCTGCCTCAGGTGCCACGTTAGTGAGAGGATAATCTAAACTTTTTGGGCCCAATCCAGTCCTACAGGGAGTTGTCCCCTGCAGGTGAATAAGCACTTGGATTGGGAGTGATGGCTGTTCAACAAGCGCCGATGCTGGGATTACACCCCGGGAAATGCGGAACTGATCCACATGGTCCAAAATGACAAGGTGTTATCTGGACCTGGCACATGGAACTTTTGAGTGGTTGCAAGTGAATCCTCCGCCCGAACAAGCAAAACATCGATCGCCTTGTGAAGGTGAACAAATGGGAAATCCACCAGATTGCGTACACGCATAAAATAAGACATCTCCTTCGAACCTTCTTCATTGGTAAACTCGCTTACCCCATATTATTTGCAGGCAGCCCCGGGTACAGTTCACTCGAATGTCAACCACTGCCTGCCCCAAATCCAAGCGGTTGAAACGAACAGTTTATGCCTTCTGTTGCTCCCCTTCAGAATCGTCTTCTAGGAGACCCAACATTTCAAATAATAAGATTACTTGCACAACCAGCAGGGTAGAAAAATTGGCCCCTTGTATACTCATAGGAATCGAAAGCAACCCCAACCAACTTGTGTACAAAAAACCTGGCTGAAGCCTTTCAGTGTCCTTAGCTCCCGGCATGCTCGTAGGTTTCGCAAGCCTTGTCCTGCCGCAAGCAAATGAAGTCACAAGCAGCCCACTCCAAGATAGTTTCCACCCGCAAACTCTGAGGCCAAGTGTTAAATGGGATATATATATAGCCACTAAATAGCCACTGTATAGACAGCAATTACCCGTTTTCCTCTCAAACCCATTGCCTCACGGACGACATCGGGGAAGCATGGGATGTCCCTCCCAGAACAAGCGTCCCCCCGAGAGGACGTGGACAATTTGGTGATGACCCTTTGGGGTTTGCGGGGAAATCGAGGCGTCCCCCATTCTCGTGCCCACAATCGTAAACTTCACCAAGCCTCACATGGCGCACCGCCGGACTTGAACCTGAATCGGAGGGATGACGTGTCCATGCTGGTGCTTACACCATGTAGATTCCCAAAACACCACGTGTGCTTCCTAAATTCAACACGTCATATCAAAGCAAAAGCAACTAGGTAAACTTGAGCCAAACAAAGTTTCAGTCCAGAACATCCGTCTGTGAATCGTGATGTCTCGAGTGCGAAGTCCTCTTGATCTGTATGCTGTCTCGTCCTATGCCTTGTGAACCTTAGGCTGTGAAATCCCATGAGGTCGAACGCATGAGTTTTTGTGCCCTGTGACCAGACACCCAGCCCCCAACAGATTGGGTGTGGACACGGGCCTGCACATCCTCAGAGATGGCGAAGTCAAGGAGGGGCAGCCTTGGCGGCCATTCTGGGGAGGAAAACAAGAGGCGGAAGACACACGCAGAAGGCGCGGAAGGGGGGGGGGGGGGCGGGAGACACTAGCAGAACGAACCTCTGCTAAATCTGCCAAAACAGAAAGCGTGGCAAAACGTTCACAATCTAGCTAATACGTTCCACTGAAATCGCAGCATGTCAATGTGGAAAACATGGCCATTCTGTGGGAATACCCGCCGACCGATGGCCATTTGATTGTGAGAACCAGAACTGGTGGTCCATCGGTTTCTGAACATCTCTGATTGCCACGGGAGCAAAAACAGAAGCATCGCTCTCAAGCGTGTGTAGCCCTGGGGTGAGTGCCCTCATAGATAGACAAAAAAAAACAAGCCAAAACGCACGCAATGAAAGACAAACCAACAAGCAAACACACCAACAAGCTGCAAACATCTATTTAGTGAGGTCTGGCATGACAATGCTTACCAACCCGCAAACATCATGAAGACCCCACATTGGCCCAACCGACGTCCATGACCCACTCCCATCGACCAGCAATGACAGCGAAAACAGGGCTATGATCTTTGTTTTGGGGGCCATTTGGTGGGCAGCATGTACATTGGGGCTGTTGCTCACCAAGCATTTTGGAGGGGTGCAAACACAAGTCCATCACAAACAGGGGGTCCAATTATATTTGAAAACGACTGAAACCGCCAGAGGAAACATAACAGATTCACACAGAACCCCAACACCCTCATTTCTACAGGGAAACTCCTTTTTGGGGACCCAATTTTGAGGGGGGTTTACAAAGGTAGGGAGCTCCTACCCATGCGCCGCTTCGTTCCACGGCAGGTGGCAGCTTTTGGCAGGTCTGCGGGAGGAATTCCACGTAGTCGTCCTCCAAAGCCTCACGCAAATGGCTGATTCTACAAAAACCTTGGTGCTTTTGGAGTTTTACTTTTCTGGGGTCGTTTTTTACTTAAGAACTCCTTATCGGTTTGCTACCGGGGTTTTTGGACAACCTCACGTAGGTCTCAACTCTTGCGAGCTCAGGTAATCAACTTTCGCAATATGGGTCTGCCTCTTGTTGAGGGTCCACGGGGTCCCCTGTTTTGTGGCCACCATTTTCTTGGGGGGGAGACTTAAAAAAACACCCATATCCCATCCACGGCTCGATCTCAAACTGTACATATAGAACCATATAAATCTATCTATCTATCTGTATGTCTATCTGCCTACTCTATCTACCTATCTGCCTATGTATCGATCTATGTATCTATCTAGTTCTATCTATCTCTATCTCGCTCTCTATCTCTCTATCTCTATATTAGCATCTTTATCTCTCTATCTCTCTATCTCTCTATTTCTCTATGTCTCTATCTCTCTATCTATCTATCTATCTATCTATCTATCTATCTATACCCATCCATCCATCCATCCATCCATTCATCCGTCCATCTACATATGACGTGTATATATATATATATATATATATGCATATATGTAGCTATGGTTGCATTCATCAAAAGCTACAGGGAGCTCAACAAGTATCGCGCGCGTGGCTGAATGTCCTACCAACATATGTTTTCGGTGTGCTATGCTTCGCAAGCTGCAAAAACAGACCCCAACAACCCTCGTCACAGGTGAGGTACCGAGGTACCATGCCCTCTTCATAAGATTCCTAACATCTACCCAACCCTGTACACTTCTATACTTCTGCAGCTCCAGCTCCAAGATCACAAGTTTGTAGTACAAGTCCAGTACGCGAAGCACACCTCCGCAGCTCCAGCTCGAAACTCGCAACTTGAGGGTTATCAGTTTTGGGGGCATCCTTATGGTTCAAAAGGATTTCGTGCAGTTTGGACATGCAGTGCAACCCCTCTTAATGAAGTGCTGTTCGTAGGTTTTTGACCGTGATATATTATACTTTCATATGCAAGTATGGAATTGTGGTTGAGATTATCAATGAACGTGTAGGACTATTCTTGCAGCAGACAGTCAGGCAGGCCCCCTTTGAACCCGTAATTTGTTCCAAGCGATACACCCTAGCTTGCTCTCGGCCAAAACACTGTTTTTCCCACTGACTTGAATTGGCAGGTTGTGTTGAGTGCCTGATTCAATGTAGCTGCAATAACCGAATCAACCACATTCGTCCGGAAACCCAATGGGGACCAAAGCAACAAATATTTTAGTTCCGCTCCGGAGTTTGTCAATCGAGTGAGAGCAGCGAAGTGGCCAGCGACCAAGCAAACATACTTCAAATACTTCAAGCCTTCAGCCAGACAATATTTCAATATTATCCGCGCAGAGCTGGAAGAGGAAACAGTCACTAAGGCAAAATGCTGCTGACAGGGCTGCACCCTGGCTTGCTGTGAGTACACCCCTGCACATCAGATCCCCCGTTAAAAGCTTGACTTTTAGTGGGTTAAATGGGAATCCCCAATAAACACTAAAAAACTAAAAGCCTAAGAGGATGGCTGGGATGGATGATGCTATGTCTTCGGCATTGAAACAGGGCTGCGCAGGGTGATGATATTTATGCACAAAGGGCGCCATAGTTGTTTCTGCGATGGGGACAGCAGAAGACCCCATGACTCGTATGGTCCTTTCAAGACAATTCAACCTTGGAACAATTTGGTACTGATCAAAGAAAAGGCCAGTGATTTTACCGCATGGGGGAAAATATTGGCACACCCCTGAACAACTGACACCTTGGTATCCGTATCTGTGTCACCCTCGGGTCTAAGGACAACCCCACGATTCCCAGCTCGCAGCTTGAAGCCCACATTCTCGGAGCCTTTCTCGGAGCAACGCATACCTCGAATTCCTGAGGTTAGTCTAAAGGATTTGTTCCATGTTTGGTCCACACAAAAAGAGATACCACCCATGATTCATGCGCTCCGGATTGCGAAGTTGACCTTATTCCTCGAAGCTAAGAGGATCTGTGTGAGTTACATCCCCTTAGAACCGCTGGAAACCAACAACATCACCTCTAAAAACCCCCAAAAAAAACGGTCAAGATCCGGTCACTCCTTTGCCCAACCGCTTTCAATCCATCCAGGGGTCGCCTCCACCAACGAGCCGATGAGCGTCAGGGTCTCGCTCATCTCGTCCAGCGTCGCCGTCTTCAGGCCTAGCAGCCTCAGCCGAGCAACGGGGCTCGGGTCTCGCTCGAAATGGGACCGGTCTCACGACGGATTTGGAGTTTCCGGTTCTGCCAATTTCTTTGAGCCCCCTGGATAAAAAGAAACTGTAGTGATTAAATGACTAAAAGACCTGTTTAAAACCACGAAAGGGGAAACAACACATAGGCTTAGGCAAATGGAAGTGTTGGTTTCCCTTTGAACCGTAGATAGGGTACCCTCGAAAAGGACACACCCATTCAGTGAAGGAATACACGTTGTATCAAAGCGGAGTGTGACAATGAATCTCAATGGCACATGACGATGACAATACATAGCAAAATGGAACATCAAGTGAAGTAGGAACAAGCTGACATAGAAAACAAGCTGGGGTGGTGGGACTGACACCTCGGCAAATTGGCTTGAAACTGGTTCTACCTAGTTGGGGAGCTCCGGCAAGTTCCCGAGGGCATGCTTGCTTTTGTGCGGTGAAGCTGATACAACAACCAAGTGAATGGGAGAGAATGCACCGATTGGAGAAGCAACACAATGCAGACGAAAAGGAGTCTGAGACAAACGAGTCGGGCTGAATTCCACAGACCGCATGTGGCAAATGTCAGGTCAAGGCAAACACATACGTGTCAGGACTAAACTTTGGCAACCAGAGTCCAAATCAAAGCCTGGAATCATACCAGATCCTCACTTGCCCCAATTGGCTCTTTTCGATCTGTGGCTTAGCACAGCGCCTCTTTGGATTGCCTGAAACAAGGAAATCGACGACTCCCTTGCGTGCCAGGCCAAAAGCCAGGCCCAAAACCCCCTCGCAACTCCTGAGCCCTTGCCTTCACTATGTCCCCGAAATGTCGAAGCCCGCCATCCGTCGGCGGTCTTCTGGACATCCCTCGCGAAACAGTTAACTGCCGAGTGGTCAGGTTCTCTCAGAAAGTCAGCAAGCGGCAGAGGTGTGAGGGGCCAACAATCAGACGTCATACGGCCATGGGTCAACACCCCGTACCCCCAGTGAACATCCCAATCCCCACTAAAATAGGTTCTAACATGGGTGGTGCACCTACCCAAAATTGTACCATTGGTTTTGACCCACAGCCATACCTATTTAGGCCCTTGGTAGCGGAGTTGGAAGAAATTCCATCTTCCGAAGGGCTTGCCATCCACCAGAGTGTGGGTCACCTCCTCGTCGTCCTGGCGAAGGGTCCAGCTCGGTTGCTTTCTGCTCCCCTGCGAAAAGTTTTTAGCTTTTAGTGGTTTACTTCGGAAAACCCAGTTGGCAAAAAGTTAAAGTTCTCACATCCCTTGGCAAAATGCAACAAGTAGATCCATGGTCCAGGAGTCTGAAACGCGGGGAACATCTTGAAACGTCCAACCCCTCGGGCCTGGGGTTTCCACCAGGACGCCCTCCAATTTCCAAGGTCCGTTTCAGGTCCCTGCGAGTCCATCGTTTCGGGATCAAGCCCATCTGGCCGATTGGTGAGAAAGTCGAAGATCTAACAAGAGAACCCACAAGCCAAACACTGAGCCGAACTTCAGTGAAGCATGAGCTGAATATGCACATCCTAAACAGTGCACTAGTGGTTTGTGGGTACTTCAGCGATTTAGGTAGACCTCTGGATGGCAGTAGCCGGTGGATCAAACTGCGCCCCCAAAAGAACAGCGCTTTCGCTCGAACGGTGAGCTCGATACGGGTGTGTCTTTTTGAGGGGATCCGACCCAAAAAATGGGTGGTGTTCCTTTTGGTTTCCCTTTAAGACCAATTACGTTCCCCCAAAAATACTCATAGTTATTACTTCTTAATTGTTTTATGTTGGTTTCTTAACTAGGGATGTCCGTTCTTATCATAAAAGATGGGTTTCTTTTTAAGGTGTGTTAAACTTTTCCTAAATAAACAATGCGCTCATAAGGACCCCCGCCTGTTACCAAACGGGATGGTCAAAGAGACCCCTTTCCCAGCCGAAACAAACATTCTCCACACGCAGGGTCATTTTGGCGCAACGAAAGACAGGCCAAGTTAGAAACCCAAGCAACACAACGCAACAAGCGCTTAACAGGTCAAATGCAAACCTAGGTCCTCCAGTAGAGAGGCAAGTTCTGTAGTTTCTTTTAGTAGGGGATACTGGGGGACCGAGAAGCCCAACCCGCTGGCCACAAACCCATCGTTGACAGATGGCTAACCGCCGCGGAGTCCTCGAGGTCGACCTCCGTGGGGGTCTTATCCAGCACGCTGAAGAGGCTGGGCAGCAAGGCTGGCCTTGGGCCGTTTTAGGATCTCTCATTTCGACCCGAGGGGTTTCTCAGAAGTAAGCCGTACCGTTTTTGCTGAAAAGCCCCAAGGGAAGCTTGCCGTGACTACTTTCAGCTTCAGGCGCGCCCAAAACAGTTTCAGCTGATTTTGCCCAAGATGCACCGCAAATTTGGAGGGACAAGAGGAAACTCAGCCACTGCGTGACGTAGAAACTGGGACCAAAAAATCGGCACCCCACCCCTGGTGCCGAAAGAATAAATAGAAAACACGCCGAGCGAGCGGCATGTAGGGCTTGAAGTCCTTCCCCAGCACTGAGGCCACCCGCCCGGCCGCCTGCGAGTGATTTTGTTCAGAGGCGCGCGTGTTTTTTTTTGGTAGATTCCATGTCCGTTCTTTCCAGGGGGAACTTCTTTCTAGAAAACCTCCGGAAAACACCAGGGAAAACGGCCGGCTTTTTGGAAAGAGCGATGGTTGAAAAGAATGGGGAATCACGCCCTATATTTTTTCCAGGGGTGGGGTCTGAAACATGTGTGAGGAAACACTCTTAGGTACCCATCCCTTTTGAGTTCCTCGAACATGTGTTTCCTGGTAGCAAGCTTCCAAAGTTGCCCAAGGGTTTCGAAGTGGTCCAAGAAATCGACACTTGGGAAAGGAGCCCTTGATGGTGCCGTTCGAAGGAAAAACCAAAAGGAAACTGCCAAGCCATTTGCTTTTGGGTTGGTCAAACTGAACCACCTTGGGCAGAACCAGGTGTCTGGAAGAACGAGCAAATGCTTTGGGTGCAATTTGTTGCCATCGCTACCTGGGAGGTATGAAGCGCACACATGCGCACCACATGTTGTCAAACCTCTGATGTGAGCCAGGGCCACGGCTCATAGCTTCCCTCACCTCTCATAGCAGTCCCATACGCCCCTCATCTTTTAGGGGGGAACACCCTGACGAAGGGTCGGTGGACACAAATTCCCATGCCAATGATGTCCACCAAAGCGTCCCCAGTAATACTTAATTTCCATATTGTTTGGAGCCTTGGGATATCTTGGGATTTTGAGGCCTTGTGAGCTCCCTGGGTCGCCTCGTGGATGTACTCCCGGGTCTGGTCGTCTGGCGCAAAACCCGCCTGGAAGGTCTATGAACATTCTGCTCTGGAAGCTGCCAAACGTTCTCATTTCTGGCTGCATTTCAGGGAAATGAGTTCAGGGACAATGCTTTCCTTGATCGCCAAGTTGGTTCTTTTTCCAGACCCTTTACCCTAAAAACAGTCACAGTGGCGAGAAAAAGGAGCAACCGGCGATGTCCTTGGAAACCAAAACATTGCAGGGGATACCTTTGTGAGAATGATCCCCTGGACTCTTCACGTACTCAATCCATGTGCTGGGCACCCCCTTTTTGTGATGCCATGTGAATTTGCATGGGATTTTAGCTTCTTTGATACTTATTTGATAATTTATTTATTTTTCTTTGCGGGGGTATAGAAATTGGGACTAGATTTGGACAGAATCAACAGAAGCAGAGGGGTAGAAATGCCTTCGTTTCTCAGTGCCCTGAGGTGTGTTTCTCGCGCAAACCAGCCACTGCAGTCCCCCGAAACCCTAAGATAAAAATTTAAGTAATACACAGGACCAAATCACTACAGACCTGATTCCTTTTTTGGTCTTGCCCCTCATGATATATATATATATAATAGTTTATACATGTGTATATATATATATACGATTTGGGCGGGGGCACTTTTTGGTTGCTGGGGACCAAGGCGACCAAAAGGACATCGTGATATGGGTCCACACACACACACACCACGCTTGGTCCCCGAAAACAACAAGTGAATAGGACGGAAAAACGATAATCAAGCACGAAACCAAAGTCCGAAACCATCTTGGTGAAATTAGAAGAATGCACCAACCCCCAAAAGAGAGAGTGCACACAAATTGCATCCCCAAATCGCAAAACTGAAGACATTGTTTACCGCTGCAATTGTGGGCTGGTTCCTCGTTCACCATGACCACCGCCAGGATGCCCATACCGGGACAGTGCGAAGTCACGCCACGTGCCCACCAATGAGCAAAATGTGTGTTCAAAAAGGGAGTGATGGGGGATCTTTGGAGGTGCGAGCTAAGCTTTCATGAAGAACCCTCACTTGAGTGGGTTTCTCAGAGAAGGCAACAAGACTAGTGGTTTACCACTCAAATGAGCGTGTCTTTTTTAGAGGGTTCCCAGTGTTGTGGGCTTTAAAGGGAAAAACAAACAAAACAAAACGTCTTGGGGGTTTAACTTCAAACAAGACACACCCAAATGATCTTCACACGTGAGTCCATAATTGGGGAAGCTGCAAAGTGGGCCACTGATCTCTGTTACTTCTTTGCCCCTTGCAGGGAGGTGTCCTTCTCACAAAAGGTGGCAACCGTAAAAAATCGCCTGAAGTTGAATCGTAGAAGTGAACAACACGAGAATCCCTACCAGTACCAGCCCTACCACACTCCCCACCCCACCCCCCGCTAAAAAAACAAACAAACAAAACACACACAACAAACAACCATGCAGCTCCCACGAAGTCACAACACAAACAAACACACCCGCCCTTTCTCCCCCCTTTCTCCCCGCCCGCTTTCTCCCCCCCCGTCGTTCCCCATTCTCCACCCCCCCGGATCCTGGAAGTAGCGCACCATGATCTGCATGATCTCGTGGCCGTCTGCCAGGAAGGTGTCCTATGGCTCGGCGCTCGGCCATTTTCTTTGGGGCGAAGGCTACCCGTCCGTGATTTGTTTGCGGGCTTAAAAGGGAAGCCAAAGGGAAACCCAGCAATTTTGGTGGAGCTACAGGAAACAAATCAATGGACAGCCGAAATCCATGTTGTGGAAGCTCCTAAAACAAGGGAACGCCCAACTAGGAATAGGACCGGAACCCCAAATGGATTTCGGGTTTCCTTTTGATTCCCCGCCAACCCAAAAAGAAGTAACCAAAGCCTGAAAAGAACACACCCCACGTGAAGGGAGTCGTGTCAAAATACGAATCAGACCGGAACCCAAAATGGCACTTGACCAGAAAACAGCGACAGTTCAAACAACGACAAGGTTGCAGCAACTGACTGAATTCAGCGAAATGACTCTAACAAGCCCATGAGTGGAACAAGAAAATGTTCAGGGCTGCCAAACAAGGACCATGAACCGAGGTGCAAAGGCGAGACAAAAAGCTTGCGCAAAAGCAAGGCGCGCGCCAAAATGGAGCTCGGGTTTTCAATTGAGATCCACCCCACGCAAAAAAGAAGGTAAACAAAGCCTGAAAGAACACGCATGTAAAGAGAGTTGGTTCATCTGGACATATCAAAATAAACTCGGACCGGGACCGATCTTGGATTTCCTTTTGATTTTCCCCCAACAACAAGAAGGTAAACAAAGCCTCAAAAGAACACACCGGGACCCAGAAGCGAATTTCTGTGAGAATTCCCACTGACTCCACTGGTTGTTTTGCAAAAAGATCGTGAGATATCGTGAGTTTCTTCGTGCAATGCGTCGACCGGAAAGATCGGCGGAACCTCATTTTACTCTAAGATGGGTTAGACAGGGATGTGGGGCGAGCGAGGAAGTTCCGCGGGATTGAGACAGGGACGCCTGCATCCCTGCTCTACCCACATTCCTGGTATTTGCTTCTTTCATGTTCCAAACTCTTCATCCAAACATTGCGGCCAAACTGCGCAGTCGCTATCCCCCATTCATTTCCAGCATCACTCCTTGCCAACTCCTTCTCCCAGTAAGCTCGCACCTGAGCTCGCCAGTCCAGAGAGTCTTTTTTTTCGCCGGATCATACGTGTGCGTAATACTGAAATGTATCGAACGTTTGGGTAGCCTCACAAACGGGACACTCTCCATTGCCCCGTTTGTGGAAACATGTTGTGGAGATAGGTAGGTTGGACCCCGAAGCATGATTCATGAATGTCAGTTTCACCGTTGACTTGTTGGAGTCTATCGGGGCTTGCTCTTTGGCCGAATGGAGGCTCCTCATAAAAGTGCAAAAGGCGTAGTCAAGAAGTCGCAAGGCAAACACTGCCGTCGAAAGCACGTTCACCGGCATGTGGTTTCTGTTGTTGCGTTGAACTTTTCTTTGGCTTTCAAGGAAAAGAACAGGAATCCTGACTTTGGAGGTCCAGTTCCTCATGAGACAACCCCATGTATGTTTCTTCTGTTCGAAGACTTGTTCTTCGCCAAAAGGATCCCAACACCACGTTCGCGAGTCCATCAGGATCCAGTGCTGCTTGTGGCTGGTCTTGCCCAGTGGCGATGAGGCCCGGGCAAGAACTGAGAGAAAACAAGGGAGCCCCTGTGTCTAAATGGGTTTTCACTACTCTCCCCAAGGAACACCCTGATATAATGACTACTTTGCCAATGTGTTTGAGGCCATTGGCAACCGCTCCCAAGGCTGAAACAGCCCAAGAGACAGCAACAGTTGCTCACTGCCCCAACAAAACTACTCGCTTCCCCAAGATTCGACATGGCAAAATTGTTGGAGCCAAGGGCGCCTTTTGCCCCCTCCAGGTCCTCCTCAGACTCCTTTGTGTCTACATGCTGCTCTGTGGGATCCTAGGAGATCGTACAAACAACACCAAACAATTAGAAAGGAGCAAGCATCTGCATTAGTTCAAACAAAAAGATCAACCCAGGTGGAGGAATTGCTGGGTCCCTTCGAAATGAGTGATATACTTGTCAGTTGCTCATATGCCATTCCCATAACGGATCTACAGAAATCTCTCCCCCCCACCAAAACAAAAAAAACAAAAAACGGATGGCCTCCCCCCCCCCGGCAACAAAGATCGGCCTCCCCCGTGTGTCCCCGCAAGAAACGAAAGCGGAAAAAGGGCTTCCAGCTCCCAAGGCCCATGGAACTCGTGTTCGGTGAGGCGCACTCGAAGGCCTTGCCGCGCAGCGTGCGCTGCGTCTCTGCGTTGGAGTTGGCGATCAGGGACTTCAGCAGCGGCCTCATTCGCAAGTGGATCTTTTTGAAAGCGAGCATTGTCTCTTTGGGGGTTTGACCAAAAAGACAGGAAGCGTTGATGGCTTGAGCATTGATGGCCTGATTCCAATGCGAACCCACCAAAACAGCAATTTCGAGATTGCCGCGGAAGCAAACCACACCTCACCAGAGGGAACCTAGGACCCAGGGACTTTGTAGCTTTTCCTGGAAGTTTCCTAAATTGTTGCCCGTTTATGCGCATGGTTTTGGAGTGTATCAAAACTTATCCAACGAGAAATGTAGGTTGCCCTTTTTCACAATAGAATGTGTTTCTTGAGTGCCCCATGGAGAAATAAGCGCCAAACAAACACCTGGCGCTGTGTGTGTGTGTGTGTGTGTGTGTGTGTGTGTGTGTGTGTGTGTGTGTGTGTGTGTGTGTGTGTGTGTGTGTGTGTGTGTGTGTGTGTGTGTGTGTGTGTGTGTGTGTGTGTGTGTGTGTGTGTGTGTGTGTGTGTGTGTGTGTGTGTGTGTGTGTGTGTGTGTGTGTGTGTGTGTGTGTGTGTGTGTGCGTGCGTGCGTGCGTGCGTGCGTGTGTTGCTTTTCTTCTTGTTTGCTACCCAAACAAGGAGATCACACAACCCAGAAAAAGAAGCTTCCTCTTGGTTTTCTGTTCCTTTATTTTCACCAATTCAAGGTTTCTCCAATGCCCCCACATGTTTACCTCAAAGCCAAGAAATGTGTCCGATCAAGCAGTCCAGAAGCCAGCGATTGCACAAGGCGAGCCGCAAACCAGAGTCAGAAGTTGACGGGGTGGTTTTCTCTTTGCGACGGTCAAGTCTCAATATGGATGTTGTAAATGCAAACTTGTAAAGAGGAAACCGAAACTGACGCATTTCCATCCGTTTTGAGACAGCCAAAGCTCGCTGAACATCCAGCCTCCGAAAAGGGAAGGACGCCTCTTACGTGGGACCCCTATAGATCAACCAAAGAGTTCATTTATCCCTGGATCCCGGTCAACCTTCTCTTAAAGGTTCCCAATTCGTTCGCATGAGGCAATACCAAAATGTGCAGGCCCCGCTTCCCTTTGGCTTCCTGTACTCCAAAGGAAAAAACAAAAGGGCGCCTAGACCACCGGGTCATTGATTCAAGACAAACCCTTTTTCACCCAGTGGGAACCATTTGGGCCCCAACAAACTGTCTCTTGCGTCGGTCCTTTGGGACCTTTGGTAGGTGTTCCCTTCCTTTTGCCTGCTCCTTTTTGGGGCCATAACTGCCATGCGGCATCGGTGTTTCCCCAAAGAGCACCTTCAAGGAACACCGGAGTCACCCACCCACATTTTTCACCAGCGGATCCTCTGCGGCGCCTGATCAAACATCCAGTTTCTTTTGACATCTGGGCAAACTATCTTCAAACCGGGGCATGACACCAAGCCTATTTGCGATATGTCAAACCTGACGGGATTCCTCCATCCTGGTGTGTCGGTCATAAAGTCCCCACAGCTTGCCCAGTCTCATTCTATACATCGATTCGCTGGTGGATGACCACCTGAAAGCGCCAATTCAATTCGGCCTGCCGGAGGTCGGACATTGAAAGAGAAAGGGGAAACCAAGCAAAGGAGACAGAGAGGAAGACGGGAGTTGGATGGGTGAGAAAAGGATAGGTACAAAGAAGGATAGGTACAAAGAAGAAAGAGACAGAGAAAACGGGATAGGAAGCAAGAGAGAGGGAGAAAGAGACCGAAAGAAAGAGCAATGGAGCTCGAGAAACAGGAAAATGATTATCGGCAGAAGCGGTTCCTGAGCGGCAGCGTGGCTGCTAGTATCCAGATTGTCTTTATCTGGGCAAACTATCTTCACACATCTGAAACCAGGGCATGACACCAAGCGTATTTGCGATATGTCACACCCGACAGGAACCCCCAACCTTCATGGGGTTTCGGTTGCAAAGCCCCCATAGTTTGCCCAGTCTCATTCTATACATCGATCGGATGGGCAAGGATTATCTGAAAGCAACCTGTCAGTGGATTCTTCTAGCGACAGCGAGCTTTGGCCCGGCTGTGCCTGTACTGAGAGTGGGATACCGACACCCTCGTCACTTCAGCCGCGCCGAGGATCAATGAATCAAGAAATTAGATTATTTTGACATCTGGGCAAACTATCTTCACATATCTGAAACCAGGGCATGACACCAAGCGTATTTGAGATATGTCAAACCTGTCAGGAATTCCCCAAACCTTGATGGATGGTCGGCTGTCAAGTCCCCATAGTTTGAAAGCTTGCCCAGCCTCATTCCATTCTATACATCGATGAGCGGGGCTTCATGATGTCATGTGCACAAGAACATCTGCAAGCATACGATGCCGCCTCACAGCGAGAAGTACCCCTCGTACATTGAAAGATCTTCCACAGCCCTCTGCTCGCGTAGACTCGACATGGCCTCTTGGATGTGTGTGAGCTGGCTGCAGGGGCATAGATGAACCAACTGGCTGAACTTGAGGTTCTTCAGTTGCCGATTCAAAGTGCGGATCTGCTTGGGTGCCAGATCCGGCCTCGCTGGCTGCGGCAAACTCGCCAAGTGCTGCTCAAGCAATGAAATAACCTCACAGGATTGATTTTCCGGGGCACGAACACGGCCGATTCGCCGGCCCAAGCGAGGTTCGCCATGCACCAAAGCTGCAAACACGTGTCCCAGAGACACATGTCAACAAGGACCTGAACACATGGGAGCCACTAAAAACCCGACCCCCAATTTCAGGATGTCACCCCACACTTTGGGGTCCCTTCCGCCTCTTCGGTCCCTGCAAGGTTCTTGGCCCGGAGATGGGGCAGCGCCAGTGCTATGAGGTCCGCCTCTCCGAGAGTCTTGGAATCTTGCCGGCAATGCAAGGAGAGCCGGCCCGGCTTGACGTGCTCTCTGTGGCAGTAGTTACCTTTGTCCCAGAAGCACCGGCCAAAACGACCGTCTGTTAGGTTGAACGCATCGCAATGATCTTCCAGTGAACATGGCAAACTAGCAACTTGCCATTTGCGCCGAAAAGACCAAATATTAAAGGTCGTACCAACAAACCAAGTTGCAAGCAGATGCGCGGGGACACTCGCACAAGTGCAGGAAAAGGCATGGCTTTGAACAGAGCTCTGGGTGACCAAAAGTCCCAGCCGAGATGTTGTTCGACATAGCGGAGGGCAAATGAAAACGACTTGTGTCGAGGTCATAAAAAAACCTTGAGCCCATAGCTGCAACAAACCGTAGAAAGCTTGTTGGTACACACACGCAAGCTCTTTCTGTCAACCCATGCTTATGCTTTGCTCTGCAATCCAAAGCGTGCAAACGCGCGCAGAGCGTTTGAAACAGATTTGCGTGTGCGTGTCAACCAGGAGAATCCACAAAATTGTGTTTTTTCCCCTTTGGTTTCCTCGTGAAACCTGGATCTTCAAACTCAAGCCCACCCCTGAAAACATTGCGTTGATATTGATTGTGCGCTTGCGGCGTCTCTGTTGATTTGCGGCTGATTGTCTGCCAATCTGCGGGAATTCTTGCCGCACGACACTTCGGCGGCAATCTCTGTCGCGGGAAGTTCTAAGGATCAATACAACCGGCCTGGATCAACGCAACTAAGTTTGACGTGTTCAAATCACCCCAACCTTGGCAAAACAACACGTGTTGTGCTTGCTTATCTTGAGTTCACGGCATCAATAACTTGAAATGCTCTACATGTTGGCAAGGCTGTTGGCATGGTCGACCAAGTGCAAATTACGCCTGTTTTGTGGACTTCCACAGAACAGTGTCAACGGAGCGCTTTTGCAACAGAATTGGCATCAGCGAGTTTCTTGCCGAGTCGTTTGCTGTGTAGCTGACATCCAGAAAGCAACACCAAATTTTGTTTGCGCGCACAAAGAACGCCACGAATCATGCTGTTCACATGAAGCTGCCTACACCAGCAACACACAGGGCATGGTGCCCATGGTCATAAGGCGAATATACGGAAATTTGTTCAGACCTCTATTGGCGTCAGCACAACTTTGAGCAGGAGGATTCTTGCCCTGCTTCTCTCTCGAAGGGTTTGATTCAAGCATACCGTGTCACAGCATGTTAGTTCAACTTTGTGAAAAGTGTGTTGTCTAAGATTCAACACGGTTTTTCATCGCAGTGCTGGTCAAAAATGAGTGTAGCATCTTGCTCCGGCAAATGCAACTTCAGAGAGCTTGTCTGAAAACAAATCTGATACGCACGCACTCCGCGCAAGAAAATACACCTGTTTGAGCCTCGTGTGTATCTTATGACAGCAAAAAGTCACTGCAAATGGATTGAATAATTGCTTTCGAAGTTAGACCAGGTGATTGTTGATTGGGAACAATGTATTAACATACGTCAAACATGTGGATAAACACACGTCTGCAAACGGAATGTTTGGGGCTTGGACGGGGCAGCTTTTGCATCTCTAACCAATGTGCTTTCTTAAGCCAACGTTGAGAGGCACGCAGGGAAACACCTGACGCATGTCCTAAGTTCTTGGACTCAAGCCGCAAACGTGTCAAGGACAACACCGCCGAACAAACTCCAACATTGATTTTGCGCCAAAACTAAACCACCAGGGGGCCGCAGGATTGTCGATTTTTACATTTGCCCGTGCTATTTTAGACGCCTACCCAAAGCCATTTCAGGAAACTGATTAGACTATTTTAGCAGTGCCTCCACAACATCCTCTAAACAGGATGTGTTTCTTTGTTGGGGTTGATCAAAAGGTCCTTTACCTGGGACACTTGGAGAAACCCACTAAAACGGATGACATTTCCCACATGGACAAAGTTACCCATCCTGGCCGCCGGGAATATTGATCAGCCCCCTTTTGGATGGGACACCACGGGGTCCCTTTCGCTGGGACGTCGTTAAGTGGCATGACGTGGCCATAGTAGGGCTGAAAGAGCTCCGCGGCCGCCTCGCCCACCACTGCAATGGCCTCCGCAGCCCGCGGGGCCCCCGGAGCCCCAAGCATGTGCTGTGCGCTTGAACCTTTGGGCCCTGCAACTTGCGTTGAAGTGGGTTGGACGGAATCAACATTGGCAAAAATATGGATGGTCAAAAACTGGTCACAGCGCCACGAGTCGCCTGGCACGAAACAAGCCTCCTGCTTATACAATTCACTGCGATGGCCAACGAATTCAGCAGATGGTAGTTTTTTTTTTTGGCAAAAAACTACTCAAGTAGTATTTCAACGAACTGGTTCGTTTGAGATAGTTTTGTTTCGCGGCAGCTGAGCAAGTCAACAATCGGTCAAGGTTTCAGTGTAGGTTGTGACAGTCATGCATGAGCCGTCGTGGATGCGCGTGGGCGTGTGTGCTATCTTTGTGCCAGCATGCGTGCAGCGGTCGTGGATGTGTGTGGGCGTGTGTATTCCCATTTCTGCCAGCACGCATGCAGTTGTTGTCAGTGCGCGTGGGCGTGTGTATTAGCATTTGTGCTAGCATGCATGGAGCGGTCGGGGATGCGCGCGGGCGTGTGTATTATCACTTGTGCCTGTGCCAGCAGGCATGCAGCGGTCGGGGATGCGCGCGGGCGTGCGTATTCACCAACATGCCATTCAGCGGCCGTGGACGCCAGTGGGCGTGCGTGATATCATGTGTGCCAGCATGCACATAGCGGTCGCGGATGCACGTGTGCGTGTATTTCATTTTGTCTCAGCATGCATGTAGCGATCGTGGATGCGCGTGAGCATGTGTGTTACGACTTGTGCCAGCGTGTATGCAGCGGTCGTGGATGCGAGTGGGCGTGTGTACATCCATTTGTGCCAGCACGCGTGCAGCAGTCGTCAATGCGCGCGGTCGTGTGTGATACCACATGTGCCAGCATTCTTGCAGCGGTCGTGGGCGTGTGTGGGCGTGTATTTTCGCTTGTGCCAGCATGCATGCGGCGGTCATGGCTGCGAATGGAAGTGTGTATTATCATTTGCGCCAGCATGCGTGCAGCGGTCGTGGGTGCTCGTGGGCGTGTGTATGACCACTTGCGCAGCTTAGCCTCATGTGTGAAGACTCCGAGTACCCAACATATGTCAAAAAGCAACATGAGAAATGCACGAAACCACCAGGTTCCTGACGGCGCCATTTTGTTACAACCAATTTTGTTACAACCAGTTTTGCAACCACCAATTGTGTTACCACCAAATTTGTACAACCAGTTTTGCTACCACCAATTTGGTTACCACCAATTTGTCTACCACCAATTTGTTGCCACCAAGTTTGTTGCCGCTTTGTTGCCACCAACTTTTGTTACAACCAATTTTGTTACCGCCAATTTGTTACCACCAATTTGTTGCCACCAAGTTTGTTGCCACTTTGTTGCCGGTAACAAATTGGTGGTATCAAAATTGGTGGTAGCCACCAAATGTTGTTTAAATTCATGGTGCAGGGACTATGGAACCTCGGGTCGGTGCCACAAAACCAAACCCCGGCCCATCAGCAAAGCAAGCCACGAAACGTATGTTCAGAAACCGATTCAGATGTAAAATCCTAGAATATTATTCATATTCCGGTTTAGACTTCGTCAACCAAATCAACCCTCAAATGGTTGACTTTTTGCTGAACCAAAAAGAGCATTTGGAGCGATCCACAGCCCAGTTGATGTTTCCTTCCGCCGAGGAGCAGCGAGGCACGCCTCCTGCATGGACCGGGTGTCGCTCTGGAGCTTGGTGACCAGCTTGGTCATCCTAAAGGCGATACCCCAGTCCCCAACTGGCTGTGGGTCAAAACCACTGGTACCATTTTGGGGAAATGGTGCACCACCCATTTTAGTCGGGATTTTAGTGGGGATTGGGTTCACTGGGGGTACGATTTGGATTTGACCCCATGGCCAACTCTCGGCACTTGAACCAAGTCGGTTACCAACCCCTTGTCTCTTGAACCCCTTGAAAAACAGATCCGCGAGGGCTTAGGTAACTCCACCAGTCCCCAACTCTAGGCGTTTCAAAACCATTCTTGACAAACCCCTCAGATTCGGAGTCAACCCCTTGATTCAACAATTTTGACATCCACCCGGTGCCCCATGAATCAATAAAATCTCTATCCCTTAGGTATCTTCTAATGTTGACCCCGGGTTAATAAACCCCTGGTTGATTAATAGGGGGGTGTCCCCTTTTAGTGAGATTCAGACCACTTTTGGAGAGAACACGCTCCTACTAATCAGACGGGTTTGTTGCTCCTGGGTCAACGTTAGGTGGGTCGTCCTTAGATTCCCCACGATGCCTTTCGTTTCCTCGGCCAAGCGTCAGCCCCTCCATGTGGGGCTCTAAATCATCCGGGTCCATGTCCTGGTCGAGACACAGCTCCCAAATGGCGAGACAAAAGCTTGATGCTAAGCCCCCTTTTAGACTTGTGTCAAAGGCCACATGTATACTTCCAGGTATGCGGATTGATATTGATATTGATAGATATATAGATAGATAGATGGATGGATGGATAGATAAATGGATGGATGGATGGATGGATGGATAGATAGATAGATTAGACAGACAGACAGACAGACAAACAGAGAGAGAGATATATAGATAAGATAGATAAGATAAGATAAGATAATATAAAGATAAGATAAGATAGATTAGATAGATAGATATATAGATAGATAGATAGATAGATAGATAGATAGATAGATAGATAGATCGATAGATAGATTAGATAGATAGATAGATAGATAGATAGATTAGATAGATAGATAGATAGATTAGATTGCTAGATAGATAGATAGATAGGTAGATAGATAGATTAGATAGATAGATAGATAGATAGATAGATAGATAGATAGATAGATAGATAGATAGATAGCTAGATAGATGGATAGATAGATAGATAGATTAGATAGATAGGCACATAGATATAGACAGATAGATAGGCAGATGAAATAGATAGACAAACAGACAGACAGACAGACAGACAGACAGACAGACAGACAGACAGACAGACAGACAGACAGACAGACAGACAGACACACAGACAGCAGACAAACAGGCGTACAAATAGATAAGATAGATGGATAAATAGCTAGCTAGCTAGATAGGTAGATTAGAGAAATGGATAGATGAATCTTCATAACTAGACAGACAGGCCAAAATACACAGAGACTGACACATAGATAGCTAAATGAAATGACAGGCACGCAGACAGATAAATAGATAGATCATTAGATAGATAGATAGATAGAAAGATAGATAGATAGATAACTAGATAGATCATCAGATAGATACATAGATAGATAGATATATAGACTAGATAGATAGATAGATAGATAGATAGATAGATAGATAGATAGATAGATAGATAGATAGATAGATAGATACATAGATACATAGATAGATCGATAGATAGATAGATAGATTAGATTAGATCGATAGATATATAGAATAGATAGATAGATGGAAATATGGATAAGACAAGATAAGATAAACTAAGATAAGACAATATACGATAATATAATATAAGATAGATAAGATATATAGATAGATAGATAGACAGATAGATAGATAGATAGATAGATAGATAGATAGATCGATAGATCGATAGATAGACTAGATAGACTAGATAGACTAGATAGACTAGATAGATTAGATAGATTAGATAGATTAGATAGATTAGATTAGATTAGACTAGATTAGATTAGATTTAGATTAGATTAGATAGATAGATAGATAGATAGATAGATAGATAGATAGATAGATAGATAGATAGATAGATAGATAGATAGATAGATAGATAGATAGATAGATAGATAGATAGATAGATAGATAGATAGATAGATAGATAGATAGATAGATAGATAGATAGATAGATAGATAGATAGATAGATAGATAGATAGATAGATAGATAGATAGATAGATAGATAGATAGATAGATAGATAGATAGATAGATAGATAGATAGATAGATAGATAGATAGATAGATAGATAGATAGATAGATAGATAGATAGATAGATAGATAGATAGATAGATAGATAGATAGATAGATAGATAGATAGATAGATAGATAGATAGATAGATAGATAGATAGATAGATAGATAGATAGATAGATAGATAGATAGATAGATAGATAGATAGATAGATAGATAGATAGATAGATAGATAGATAGATAGATAGATAGATAGATAGATAGATAGATAGATAGATAGATAGATAGATAGATAGATAGATAGATAGATAGATAGATAGATAGATAGATAGATAGATAGATAGATAGATAGATAGATAGATAGATAGATAGATAGATAGATAGATAGATAGATAGATAGATAGATAGATAGATAGATAGATAGATAGATAGATAGATAGATAGATAGATAGATAGATAGATAGATAGATAGATAGATAGATAGATAGATAGATAGATAGATAGATAGATAGATAGATAGATAGATAGATAGATAGATAGATAGATAGATAGATAGATAGATAGATAGATAGATAGATAGATAGATAGATAGATAGATAGATAGATAGATAGATAGATAGATAGATAGATACATAGATAGATAGATAGATAGATAGATAGATAGATAGATAGATATATATAGATAGATAGGATAGATAGATCGATAGATATATATATATATTATATCAGATTAGATCAGATTAGATAGACAGATGGATAGATAGATAGATAGACGTATTTATGTGATATGATCGTGTAGGATAGAACATAATAGAGAGGAATAGACTGGAACAGAATTGAATGGAGTAGACAGATTAAATCGATATATTTGACATTTATTGATCTAAGAGATCCTTCGACAGACTAGACATATTAGATAGGTTAGATATATGAAACAGATTAGCCATCTTAGATAGATCGTTGGCCTTATATTGATAAACCCCAGTTTATGAATATGGGGATGTTCCCCTCTAAAAGTGATGATTCCTGACATCCAGGGGCAGCCTAAGAAACTGGAGTTGATTAATATGGGGTCAGCATTCGATAGATTAGATACGCACGCCCCCGCCTCCATACTGGATAGAGCGGACGCAGCATTGCAGGCCACTCGGATATTCGGATCGTCCAGGCCATTCCTTCGATGCATGCTTTCGACTTACAGGGCAGGTCTCCACAAATTGACAAAGGCTACCTAAACAGGTTGCCCAAAAGGGGGGTTAGGTAGGAGATCCCTCCAAGAAAGAAGAGAGCATAGCTTGGTTCAATGTTCGTGAAACTTCCGTGTACTTCCAAAGGAAGCATCTACACTAGGATGGCCATCTGATTTTGGCGGCTTTGCACATCACTTGTTCACTTCTTGGTTGCCGTGTAAGAGTTTCTTTTTGCTTCGGAGACCTTTACCCCAAAGCCCAAAATCGCCCCACGACTATTTCCTTGAATGTCCGTTTCGGGGTGCGTAGGATCCTAGACAGGGGATATGCTGCTGCACAGTTTTATGGGTGTGTCTGTTTTGAGGGTACGCATTTCAAGGTTT